CATCGTTATCGCTAACATCGTTGCCATCATCTTGACCATCATGGCCTCCTCATCGCTCTTGTCGTCATCTTCATTCATGGCCGTCATCACCGTCGCCGTCATCGTCATCATCATCATCATCATCATCATCATCATCATCACCACCATCATTTGTTGTAGTATTAATTGTAAAATCATTAGTCTTGCTATTATTATTTCTGTTATTCCTTCTTTTATTACTGCGGTAACTTTAAGATTTTAGATTAAGCAATCTTACGATTCCGATCCCGTATTTCATCTGTATAGAGAATTTCCGTTTCCCTGTTAGCAAAATGTATGCAGCCAGCTGATACAGATCTGTTTCCATATCTGTAGCTATTTGTGTTCACATTTAGCTTTTCTGTTTTGGAAACAGTGGATCCTCTATTAGCAAAATGTATACAAATTGGCAGTAGGTGCCTATTTAAATCTGTGTTCGCACTTAGCTCTTCTATTTTAAAAACAGTGGCTGCTGTATTAGTAAAATGTGTGCAGATTCGCAGTAGGTGCCCAAATAAATCTGTTTCCATGTCTGTAGCTACTTGTGTTCGCATTTAGCTTCCGTTTTGAAAGCAGTGGTATCAGAATCTTGAAGCATATTGAAAGCAGGTCCTGCAGTTAATCTGCAACTACCTTTATGATTCAGTACTCTTTAAAGGGCTAGACTCTGTACCTGTGCGATGAGGTAGAGAATTGTTATCCACAAAATTGGTCAAGAGTTTACAAAAATCGACTTTTCGTTTTTATATTAACAAATATTTAAATCGCTAAATAACTTTACAGAAAGTGAAACCTCAACATATGCCCTGGGGTAATTTTTGCTTCATTTCATGACTTATTTAATTAAATATGTGCATAATCTTGTTGAATAACCAAAGCGCAAACATTAAATGAATTTCGTTCTGATGATTCTCTGAGAAATAAAACTCGAATGACGTTTGTTTTTTGACACTGTAGTGAGTAACTGTTCTTCTTTATTGCGTCACTGTTGAAGTCTATCCCCTTAAAGAATCTGATAATCAGGCAATGGAGAAAATATGGCACTGCAGGCTTGGCTAACAGGGTTGCTATTTTAACTATGGATTACTTTCGATTGATTTCAAAACACAGTTACTTTTTTTATCTGTACGTGTTTCTTCTTTTTGCAGGAGTTGTCCAATCTTTTGTTAATTCGGCTTTCAATTGCAACTTTACTACCGACATTGTATGTATCACGTAGCTATCTTTATTTCAATCATAGATTATCGACAATGTTTGCCACCATCTTTTTCATTCGTTGGAACGCTATTTTTCAAACAGCTTTTAGCAGCAGTCAATAAATTCGATATGTAACAGAAAATAAATGGGAATTAAATAAACTATGAAAGATTCCAAGGGTAACCGTCTGTAGATTAAAATAAAAGTTCTCAGAAGAAGATCATCTTCAGATTAAAATAGAATATTTCATTCTCTGACATCATCATTTAATCGCAAATCGTTTTTCTACTACACGTGAACAATGTTTCGGGTCGCAGTGCAGCGACGCGAATTAACTAAAGAGAACCGAAGGTGCATTACGATTTGTTAATAAAATCACATATTTTCCTGGATTATTTCAGACCTCGGTAAAAGGTATTCGTTCTATTGTGTCGTTCAGCGGGCGCAAGGACACGGCCACGTCCTAATTCACCGGCAATGTAAATTTAATCACGAGAAACGAGATTTCCGCGAATCTCGTTTCCACGTTTTCGTGTTCAGACCGACCGTCGAGGAGGGACGACGCCGCGCCATTCAGTTCGTTGCTGTTCCCTGGCTAAGAGTAAGTAATAAACAGGCGAATAGTGTTAGCAAGTTTAGCTGCGAGAGAACCCACAGCCAAGGAATCCGACTTGAATCGAGTACCGTGCCGCAGAACGTGCGCCATTTTCCTCAAGTAAAATAAAATAAAGAACGGTGAGAATCTTTTAGTTGTGGGTTTCCTTGAAACAATTTAGCCAATAAAAGAGAGCTAAGTTCTGTAAATATAATTTAATCTGATAGACGTATCTCGCGTACAAGCATAAATATAGTACTGGGAAAAATCCGTAGGGAAGAATCCAGCAAATAATTATTTCGTAGAATTACACACACGCTACGTCGTTAATTGATCGTGTCACCGTGATATATTGTTCTGTAGCCTCGGATTAATAGTACAATCGCCAAGTAATAATTGTTTTATCGAGGAATTATTAATTCATAGAATTACAACAACTGATCGTGTCTTCGTAATACATTTCTCTCTAGCCTCGAATTAATAGTAAAATAATCATTATTTTCATCGAGGAATTATATAATTTAAGGTAGCTCGATAGCGTGTGCAAAACATATACAGGGGCGGATTAAGCGGCCGCGTGGGGCCCTGAGGGTCTAAAAATATCTTAACTTAAAGATTTTAGAAATTACCGAAAAGGTTCAAAAAACGCTCCTTAAAATAATCAAACAAATCTA